CCCACTCCCACCCCACTCCCACCCCACTCCCACAACTGCATCCCGAATGGTGTTGGTGTTATCACGTTTTCTTCACGTTGCACATACATGAATGACAAGTGTGTTATGGCAGCAGTGATTAGAGATGTTCTTGGAATAGAGCAAGCACTATAGATTTAATAATAATAATAATCATAACTTTATTTTTCACTTCTAGATATTATAGAACCGACCAGTTTTACCCATCATAACCACGACGAAATGAAGGCTGTTATGACGAAGTATGCTGAAAAATACCCTGACATCACCCGATTATATAGCATTGGTGAATCCGTAGAAGGACGGGAACTACTTGTTCTTGAGATAACCGATAATCCCGGAATCCACGAACCTGGTTGGTCACTAATCTTTTTGTAGTTCTATTTGTGACATAGTCCAAAAATGCATCCCGTGTGTTTCGGTCTGACGTAATTTTATACATGCTTTGACAGATTTGTTCACATTTAGTACAATTTAATGGTAGTTATTTTTTCAAATTTTTTAAAAAATAATGTTTCAAATTCTCTAATTGCACTGTAAAAAAATGGTACAATACAATGTGAATTGTAAAAACTATACAAAAATGGGAAATTAATTTTCATTTGATCCAAAATTAACAGGATAATGTTAAAACATGTTCAAATTGTAGCTAAATTTTAGAATGAAACATAATGTCCAGGGGTCGTGTTAAAACAACCCATTTGACCCACATGCATTGCTATGCACACTATAGCATCAATACAATTAAAACTATTACCACCTTTCAATGAACATATAACTCCCTATTGTCTCTAGGTGAACCAGAGTTTAAGTATGTAGGTAACATGCATGGCAATGAAGTCGTTGGAAGAGAGTTGTTGATATTACTGATAGAATTATTATGTGAAAATTATCACCATGTCCCAGAAGTTAAAGCTCTAGTGGATTCTGCTAGGATTCATATCATGCCATCGATGAACCCAGATGGACATGAAAAAGCTATTGAAGGTAAGAAAATACAGACATCCCCAATACAAGGTGTGGTCTCAGGAGAAATGTATTGTATGGGTGTTATGAAGTGGCTATTTAGTATGCAGTGAAGAGCATAAACTTGTATTTTTGACATTATTAGTCCCTTTCCGATGCAGTCTGACAACAGGGACTTATGGATTAATTTCAGTGCATTCATTCATCCATCCATCCGTCTGTGCATATCTACCTCTATCTCAAACATGCTTTGGTTGATCTCATTCAAACGTCACGCATACATCATGGATGCATATGCATGCCCATTCATTTCACGATCTGATTCAAGATGGCCAAAGGGCGACTATTTTAATGTCAAAACATTAGCAGCTTCAAGTGTTTCTGCTATTCCAGAACTGGATCTCCGTCGTGTACAGATGGGTTTTTGTTTAAATTTGTCATTGATAAATAATTTTTTTCAGATACCCTGTCGTCTGGCAGCCATTTTGTTTTAATGAATGTGGTTCTTGAGTTGTATCTCTGACATGCCCTTACCAATCTTGTATACATCATACATCTTGTCACATATTTCAAATTACCATCAATTCCAGATGGCCAAATGGCGGCCATTTTAATGTTAAAAGTCATCAAAATCAAACATTTCTGCCATTCTGGGCCCAAACGGACAGCTATTGTTTTTTCTTGGTACATACAATGGACGTGTGTATATAAAATGGCCAAATACAAATGCTGCATTATACCATCGTATGATGTTTCATGTTCTGATTCAAAATGGCCGACTCATTTCAATTTTGTTTGACTAACAGAGACTCTTTCCTGTCATGACTTTAGAAATGTGAAATGGTAGTCATGAAGCTGACAAGAAGCTAAAAGAGTATGCACACATTCAACAATGTATGTTATATATGTTACATGGGACCCATACTGAATACGACAACTACCACCATTCAGTTCTCAAGATCATATGAATGATAAACAAATATTCTCTCTTCGTAGGTGATCGGGAAGGTGTAATGGGAAGGGCAAATGCCAACACTGTTGACTTGAATCGTGACTTTCCAGACCAGTTTGACAAAAAGAAACACACTGTTCAACCAGAGACCAAAGCAATCATGCAATGGCTAAAATCAATTCCATTTGTATTATCGGCTAATTTACATGGTGGTTCATTAGTTGCTAACTATCCATATGATGATTCACCAACTGGTAAAAGCATATATAGTAAATGCCCTGATGATGATGTCTTTATACAACTCACAGAGGCTTACTCAGAGGTTTGTATGTTATAGGGTTTGATTGCATCATAGTCCCACACTCAGAGGATTCTTTTCGGTTTATTCAACTACAGTAATTTGGACAGGGGGAAACTCAAATGGAACATGATTCAAAACAAATGGAATTCTACTATCCTACTATCTAATAGTCTATAATTAATATTCTCAAAACTCAAATAAACATAAATTATCATTAGAATGTAAAATGGTGAATGTCACCTGACATTTAATCACATTAAACGATTAAACGTCGTCACTTCAAATGTGTTGAAAAGAAGATAAAAAACAAATGTTGTGAAAGTACAACAATATTATAAATTCAAACAATAATTCATTCTCATATAAAATTAACACATATTCCAAAATGAGTATGCACCCTCTCCCCTCACCCCATACCCATATCAGATAATTGTCAAGGCAGGGGTGGGGAGGTAGGGGATACTTCAGAAGTGAATAGTGTATAGCAAAAGTTGTCTAAACTGAACTTCAAAGCTACTAAGAAAATGGTTTTCAAAGTTGAGATAGAAGGTAGAGAAGTCTGTGGAGAATGGTTGAACAGGAATATAACGATAAATTTCAACAGCTTTCCAGATTTACTGTTCCATGATTATCAAAGATGTTAGTTTCTTGTGCTGCTCAGGTGACTAACTGAATGACATTACAATCGCTTCCATATGTGTGTATTTTATGTCAGAATGATTTCATTTATTCCAGGCACATCCTACCATGCATTTGGGACATCCATGTCCCAAGTATTACCCATCAGAAACTTTTGATGATGGGATTACCAATGGAGCTGCCTGGTACAGTGTAGCAGGTAAGTAATTTCATTAGCTGTTACCATTGTCATGGTAACTTGTTGTTTATGTAATTCATTGTGCATCATATAATTAATAAAAGATCTTTAAAACAGCTGCTATGCAGATCTGTGATAGCAATATAAACAAAAGTAACAGATGCAATCCAGGTAAGATCCATTATACTGAAGCATCATGTGACTCCCCACACCCAAACACATTTCATCTGCTGCTTGTAAGCTCTTAATAGTTACACATAGTCACGTAGAGGTGCTATTAAATGCCGTAAACAATATCCAAACTAATTTAGAAAAAATCAATTGATGGTAGTGCTAAAAATGTATGCCACACATCATAACTCTGAAACACTTTGACCGACAAAGATTCATCACCAAAACATACAGACCAATTTGATTTTGAGTCAGTGTATGGTTTTGGTTAAAATTGATAGTAAAAAAAAATGAGTTAATGAGTTAAAGAATTGTAACTTTCTATCTTGATATACAAGTTTATTAAATAAATTTTCGAGATGTAAATGTCATGAAACTTTTATATGACTTTTCCATAACACATAAAATTCACAAAAAGTGAAAGCAGTTAATTTTATATTATACAAATTGTAAAATTATTACTAAATGTTGATATTTCAATTCAAAATGGCTGCCAGACAGTTTTATAGGATGAAAACTATTTTTTCTCCCATGAACACAACCACTG